GCAGCGCTCCAGCTCTCTACGTGCATCATCCACCCCGGATTTTTCGTGCGCACTCGCGCTGAAGGCACAACACTGTGGCCGTCACTGCTGCTCCATCGTGATCGCTCGATTGCTCCAGAGCAGCAGATGAATTGACTGATTGTTACGGTGTTGAAAAAGTGCTGACTACTGGAAAATAAAACTGCTAAACCTCCGTTATGTACGAATAGTTTCCATACTTTTCACAAAAAAACTTTTCAGATGCCTATAACTTGTAGGCAAGTGACTGCGCCGCTGGCAAGGATATATTTCCACCGTCTTTGATACTCGTCACAAAGGCAACGATGCTTGCAAAAAGTGGCGCCTAGCACGCAGCGTACCCAAGTCACTCGATGTGGCGCATTGCAGCTGCAGTAGTGACTCACAGGCTCTTCCCCTACATTGACGAAGCGTCTTGACTCAACGCCCTTGAGTGCAGCTCTCGGGCAGCAGCTTGATGCAGTTGTCACAGAGCCCTAGAGTTGCTGTCAATCCTACTGTTCGTGTCGCGCCCATGTGTCTGCTGCACCGGCAGATGGGAATTTGCGCCGATAGTTGACGGTTTTGACTGTCGTGTATTCAACAATGTAGAAAAAAAAGAAGTTGTCGGCACGATTTTAGCTTTGGAATCGTATCCAATATGGATACGCTCGCCTTGATTGTCACTTGCTCACGGCCAGCCATTGCCGGCACTGTTTACGCCGATGCCGGTCAAGAGAGTATTGGCGTAGGAGAACAGCTTTGCCCGCGTCGTCCTATTGACAGCCACGTTGGAGCTGAAATCCATCATCTTCCACTTGATTATCCCCGTTTTCAGGAATGCGGACCACTGTTCTCTTCGCTGTGGTAAACAAGTTGGAGCACGGCTGTGGATAATAATATTATCGGATATATTATGTCCTACGTATAGGGGGCGGAACAAAACAAACATTCAAAGTCATGATGGGCTTCGTCACTTACTTCAAAGCATTCGTGCAATTTAGGTATGAGAACTTTCCTTGATTTTGATGTCTACGAAATGAAATTATTGTGATACATGTAAGCCACAACGCTCAACGTTCACAACGAACTCGATCACGGGATCGTCCGATACACGTAGCGGTGGCCACGGAACTTGAGAACGATCAGTGCAGTAAGGGCCGCGCAGACACAGCCCGACACGAAGAACATGATGGCAAGTGCTGCGAACGAGTTGTCCTCGTGGTGAGTTTTGGGTTCCGTTGCGTAAGATTCCGTCTCCGGCAAGTAATGAGCAGCCAGCCTTTCCTCGGGGCTTGTAATGTCCTCTGAAGTGTCTTTAATCGGGTGATCTTTTGCGGAGTCCTTGAATGGGACGATGCCGAAGATAGACCCTCCGTATACAGACTTCTCCTCCCACACGAGCTCTTCGTCGCTGATATCCGGCATCATATACGCGCAGTCCGCCTCAATGCCCAAGTTGTTCTTGCCTCGCACGATCTTGAAGAACCCATTCATACCCCAATACGTTCCCCACGAGTTGCGGACGTGCCAGTATTTCACGCCATCCTCTTCGCCCCAGCCGACAATTTCCACGTCGTGGTCAATATCCATAAACCCCGTCTTGTCGTCGATAATGCCAGCCTTGTACTTGAAGGTAAACTCGTCACTACACGCAACGCCACACGTGATGGGGCCGTCTTTCATGATCTCCTTCATCATCGCAAGTTCACCCGACAAGTGGCCGTGGCTTTTGGCCCGGTAGCGTACCATTTTGGTTACAGGAAAACACTGTGGCACCTTTTTACTCTCCGGTGTGTACATGCAGCTACACAACAAGTTAGCATCATAAATATCTAGCAATAAAGTCAAAAGTTCACGTACTTCATGCAGTATCCGTGCGGTGGGCATGTGCCATTGGTGCCATGGAATTTAGTGTGATCCGTTGCGTTGTATGGCAGGCAGGACTCGTCCGGCAGTCCATAGAGGCGCATGAACTCGTACACGTCAGACGCTTCTCCGCCGTCACAGCCGGCGGACAGTCCGTGACCCGGTGCACAGTTGAGGAAACTCTGACGCCCCAACATCACGTCTGCTCCGGTGTATTTACGCCGCGTGTTGGCGATCTTGATACGGTCTTGGGCGCTCGACATGGCACCGTGAGCAAAGCACGAGCCACAGTACTGCGGGATGTGCTGGTTCCAACTCGGGACGCAGAAGCCACGCTCGCACCAGTCTAAATGCTTAGGGAGCTGCTCGAGCTCCTGCACTTCGTCCAGCGACATGGTAGGCAACGGGTGCACCTTTGGATGCAGATGTTCACGGCCTTTCATGGTCCGTTTGCACCGGCATCCCTCTTCCTCAGCGTCGACAGGGTTGAGCAACAGCGTAGAGAGCACTGTGGCCAACAACGTTGCCTTGCAGATGGATCCAAAGCGTCCACCCCACATTCTCTCGACTTGCAGGGAAAAGATATCGGGTATCGGTGTCCACGGATATTTGATCCGCCAAGAATTTGTTGATTGCAGCTGTGCACTCGACATGTTTCTCATGCTGCACAATGTGGCCGCAA